TAGACATGAACTTTTTTTTATTGAATAATATTTTTATTTTATGCAGTTCCAGCTACCTACGAAGCAGAAAGGGCCTGGAATGAACACTTGAGACGTATGCAAGAAATTGAACGCAGGTACTTCTCTTTTTTGCCCTGCTATTAGCCAAAGCTATGCGAATATATTAAATTTTAAAAGGAACGGTTTTTTTATAGAACTAGTTGCGTTATAACGTGAAAGCTACAGATTTTGAAAGCAATGTCTTCTAGTGAAAGTTACTCCATTGCAAACGGTTGTGTTAAAGGCTTAATGCGTTCAGGCAGATCCTCACCATGGCCTCTTTCAGTGAGTTCGATAAACTCCTTAATAAAAGGCCTCACCATGTCTGAAGCGCTAGATTTGTTTAAATTGCATGGCCTTTAAGCCCTTCTTTTTTTTGTTTAAATATGACCAATCACGCAGGCAGATGTATCCTGTACGTGCCTTAAAGCATGTGTAAAAAACAAGTGAGCAAAGAAAGAGATAGGGAATAATTGTAGGCTAGTGAGTGTGAATGTCTTTACCGACTGAACATTCAAGTATCCTTTACCGTACTAAGCTTGAACTCGCGAAAATTGATTTAATGGACGTGATTCTTATTTATTCCAATCACTCAGGCAGTTATGCATATGTTGGAGGTGCATGTGTGTCACCTTCTTATTTATAGTCGTTGGTAGGTAACATGAGCGTACATTAGCATGTAATACTTTCCAGTGAAAGTCATTTGGTTGTAGGATCATCATCATGATATTTTAGTAAAAGCCCATTAGATGTAATGACAATGCTCGTTAGGGGAACGTATGGAGAAGATGTGGTTTTCAAAGCAAATCTTGTGCAAATGTGGTTTTCAAAGCAAATCTTGCAATGCAATATAAAAATATCAAAATTTTCAAAATATTGCCTTGTGAGGGACGTCTATTATATTGTCTCAGAACGCCATTAGATTTAAAAGGCAAAAGGCTTTTCAATGGAAACCAACAAAGGTAATCCTTGTCATTGCAAGTAATTGCATTAGATTTTAGTAGAAATAGCTATCAGCACTGAGATTATTGAACACTGAGACGAAATTACTGAATGAGATTAAATTGTAAAAGCAGTGAATGGCTTGTCAATGAAATTCGTTACATTGCAGGATTAGATTATTTAATTTTAAAAGCAATTCATCCAAATGAAAACCGTTTCATTGTAAAACGAAACCATCAGATTTTACAAGCAATGCTTGTCAGTGGATTCGAATGCATTGTATAAAGAAAACATGGAATTTTAATCAAAACGTCTATCATTGGAAGCCATTGCAGCTTAGGATAAGAGAAAGGAGGGCTTAAAAAAGATGTTCTTGTCATTGGAAGTCATTGCATTAGATGTTAATGGAAAAGCAAGATCACAACACTACATTTTCAAGGAAAGGCTTCTCAGTGAGAGACGTTGATTTGTTTACTAAGGATAAGGAATTCGTTACACCGTAAGTTTAGACTACAAAAACAATTCATATAAATGGGGTTTGGATGCAGTGTAACAGGAAGGCATTAAATTTTACAGGGCAATGCTTGTTAGAGTAAGTTAACGCATGGTAGGATGAAACCATTGGTTTTGGGGAATGCATGTCAGTAGAATGCGTTATAAGAAAATTAGGTTTTAAAAGCTTTGTTTATTGGTAGAAGGCGTTGCGTTATACGACTCGAACATCAAGCATTGATAGCAAGGCTTATCAGCGTTGTGGCATGACAATGTTAGATTTTCAATGGGAACCATTTTGTTCTTACAATTATTATAAAGCGAACGCCTGTTGTTGCTATTCATTGCGTTCGAAGATATGTACCTTAAATGCTTTTACATGGAAAGCACTGGTTTATAAGATTAGTTTTTTTAGATTTTAAAGGCCAAGGGTATCACTAAGAGGCACTGGATGTTGAAGTTATGAGATTGTAAAGCGAAGCTTGTCAGTGAATGCTAAAGCACTCTACAACTGAAATAGAATTTTTCAAAGGTTCCACATATCATTAGAACTCATTGCATTGGGAATTTGAAAACTTCTCAGTGGTAATCAGCGCATTTGAAAATTAGGTTTGAAAGCCCGCGCTTGTCATTACTATTTACTGAAACGTAGGGGCGTAGCTTGCCACACGATACCTCCACTCGTTGACTTGCAATTCACCGATGAATTAACTTTCAACTTTTTGAATACTTATACGCCATGACTTCCATTTCGCTTGAATAGCCTTGGCTATAGGCGACAGAACTTGTTGGGCTGTTCTCTTGAAGGGTTTTTATTTCAAAAAATTGCTAGAGTAATGGCATTAAGGTTCATTAAGCCGAGCTTAGTAACTTATTTCTCGATAAATAAATACTTTATTAATTAAGAAAACGGAATATTTTGTCATTTTTAGATACCCATCCCGTTATGGTTTGTATTTGAAGGACAAGCCCTACACACCTCACTCGTTGGTGCCTTTGGAATTTGAGCCTGAGGATAAAATGTTACAAGATCTTAACAGGGGTAAGGAAATCTAAACAAAAGTAAAAAAGAAAAACAAAAACAAAAAAAAGAAAGAAACAATATCAAGAAAACACAAAAAGTTAAAAAATGCCATCGTCATTATAACAACAACAACAACAACAAAAAACAAGAAGAACAACAACAATATAAAGTTTAACACCTTGAGCGCCGAAGAGTTACTTGTAAGAATTTGTTCAATTTGAACGAACTGAAAGCAGGCAGACAACAGAAGAAGAGAAATTATTATTATTTCATATTTAATTAATTATTTTCTTTTTTGATTTTTCACTCAGTTCCATTGTCTATGTGGGTATTTGTGTCTGTCTATGTAGTATGTGTTTAGCATACTTTACAACATTTTTTTAAAAAAAAATTTTCTCTCTCTCTCTCTCTGCCATTGCAGCCCATAAAGAACTTTCAAAACGTTTATCTCCGTATATCTAAAAACTTTTTCGCATTGATTGAAATGCTATGATAATAGGGGGAGCATACCTGAATTTATATATTAACTCGTATATACATATATATATGTATATA